ACCACCACCACCACCACCACCACCACCACCATCATCATCATCATCATCCTGCGGACTCCTGACTGTCAACTCGTAAGTAGCCACAACCACATCCACCGCCACAACCGCAGCTACAGCCACAGCCCCAGCCCCGGCCACAGCTACAGGCACGTCCAGGTAAACGAATTGGCCGAGTGGATCCTCCACGACAGGCTGGGGGTCGTTATACGGGCGCAACCTCATCATCAGGTAAATGATTTACGTATTTATTGTTGTTTACAATCGCTAAGTAAGATAAAAAAATATAATATTAATTTTAGAATAAATAACTTCAACAAAAAGTTTATAATATTTTTTTTTTATGTTTATGTAACTTTCATATATAATTTAGTTTAAACTATAGTTATTAGTTTTAATAATAATTATTATATGATATAATAAAAACTGTAATTATTACTTCGTTGATAGTTTAGCATTAGTTAGATATGGTGGATTAATAATAATAACAAGAATAATAATAATAATAATAATAATAATAATAATAATAATAATAATAATGATAATAATAATAAAGTTTGTAACGATTTTGGAGGGAAATAGAAATGAAGTTTTATTAAATGTTTTATTAAATGCTATTAGGCAACAAGTACATACATATATATATATATATATATATATATATATATTTTATTTAATAATAGTGCATTATTGATACAGTCAATCACAATATGTTGTATATATACTAATTGTTCTATTTTAATACAGAGGCGAGCAGCAAACGCACTAAGTGCGACACTGGCTTGTTAAAGCCTCAGTACCCGGTTGCCCCATCGACGGGAGTGTTATCCCTAGTTTTCTAGGGCAAGTAGCCTCCCGGATTTGGACTGGACAGGTCAGAGGCACGTTGAAGTGCCAAAACAGTATGTCGGCCAACGGAGATTTGAGGGAGTGGCTCGCAGGGATGGATGACAGTGCGCGAGATCTGAACCGTCCGACCGGGCTGTTACATCTGGCGTCCAGCATGCACGAGCACGTCAACACTCCACTTATTTCAGCATTTGTAGAGCGATGGCAGCCGGATACTAACTCGTTTCACTCCCTTTTGGTGAAATGAGCATCCTGCTCCACGACGTGAGGGCCATACTGGGGGTTCCTGTCGTCGGATCGGTAGTCACAGGGGACCTCGACAGCATGACACAGCATGCGTACTGCATGGAGCTGTTGGGGGTGACCCAGGACAGGCTGATGGCGAGCTTTTGGAGTCACGGCTCGGTGTCGAATGACGCCTTTTATACTGCGTTGCAAAAGAATGGCGCAAGATGATCGGCTGAGCATGTGGCGACTGGCTGGCTGTGGGTGCTGCTCGATACCACCTTGTTTACGGACAAGAGTGGTAACAGGGTCAGTCCCAAGATCATGCACGAGATGATGCAGAACCTAAAGACAGTTGGGGATTACTCGTGGGGATCGGCCGCACTGGCATACCTATTCAGACATTTAGGTATGGCCAACAGGGGGGACACGGGGGGAGTGGCGGGCTGCTTGACTCTCTTGCAGTTTTGGATATATGAGTATTTCCCCACATTCTGACCCCCCGGTGCTCGTATGGCCTCCGAGCTCAGCAGCCTAGCTCGATCAGCCTTGTGGAGGACCACCGTCCCAGATAACTCAGATACGCGCCTCAAGGATTTCCGTGTGCGACTTGACAAACTCACAGCCGTCGAGGTACGTTAAGTTATTTTATTTAAATTTACTTGAAAGTTATTTAGAATACTCAAATTGTTCGAATAAATGTTTTATGCAAATGTGAATAGGTAAACTGGTTGCCATACGGCCCCGAGCCGCATGTGTTGGAGCCTAGGACCCTTTATTCCGGATGCCTTAGGTACCGGGATATTGTGGAGCCGTACATGCCTATGCGTTTCTTACGCCAGTTTGGCTACCGCCAGACCATCCCTCCCAGCATGGATCGCCCGAATACTGCATTTCGTGGTTGGAATTCTAGAATGTACAGGGTCGAGCATGGAGCTACTACTGCAATAGATCACTGGGGCCAGTTCCCGCGGCTGCATTCTGTACGCTTTTTTGATTTTACTCCGACCACGACAGATGATCTGGGGGCGGCCGATGATGACTACCAGCGATGGTATGAGCAATATTCTCATCCTAGGCTCTTGCCCGATAGTCAGGCGGACGTCGAGGCTGTCCCTGCGTGCGCCAACGTCGATTTTGTAAGTCGTTTACTAAATTTTGTTTAGTATTCGTTCATTACACTTTTTTTTTATGTTTTATAATTTAAATGTATGTATATGTTTTATTTTCTTGTGCTTTGTGTAGTGGGTCGGACGGTGGGAGTCCATGTCATCAGATATGCATCAGGAGTTCGCGGCAGTTGCTCCTGAAAGGGCGGCAATTTTTGCAGAAAAAATGGCTCAATTGAAGTCGGATTTCGACAAAGCGAAGTAGTGATGTAATAAATATTTTTTTTTTGTTTTTTTATTTTAGATTTTGTAACATATTATTAGTAGAATTGTTTTATGTTTTTTTTTTTTT